CTTAAAAACTTCCCTGAACCATGCATCTATTACAAATTGTTAAACTTTTTTTTGGACAAAAGTGTACCAAATTAATGTAATGTACATTTTAATGTAAAGTATGTTTTACATCCAGTTGAGCAACATTTGGAATTTTTGCCCTGAGTCAATAAAGATGTAGTATAATTAGTTAGCCCCCTCATAATAACACTTAAATAGTATTATAATATTTAATATTAAGACATAAGTGTATTTGTCTTAGTATTAGTACTTTTAGTTTGCACTTAACAAATGAAGGTCAGTGCAGAGTGGTATAGGTTAAAAAGTGTAATCACAAATTTTGGTCATAGAATTTCACCAAAAGTCAGAAATCAGAGAAACATGCAGTCATCAGCAGGACTGAATCAACAAAGGGTGGTAGCAGAACACATAATCAAAAAGTAATGCTGGTATTTATTTGTATTTCTCACAGCCGTCCAGCTATTCCACATACAAATAAATACCAAGTGACCGTGAGTTGACCACTAATGATAGCACTGTGCCACTATGCAAATCAACTGACTTGTGACCCCATGCTAATGAGCTTGTTGGTTTGGTTGCTAAATAGCTCAGTCTCTTTGAATCCTATACAGTGATGGGGCATTATCCATACTGACTGTATGTGTGTGAGATATGTGTATGTTGGGAGGTTTGGGGTTTACATGAGAATGAGAAGGGGGATGGGAGCCGAGTCGCCATGAAGCAAGGGGAGTGACGGTAACTGATCCATCACTGTCCCATCACACAATATACACAGACTCACACTTGCTGAATGCTGGAAGAAAAGTCTTACAAACCACAGTGTGTAAGAGAAAACTGAGGGTACTTCTAAGAAAAGCTGCTGCCGGGAGAGACATTCATCTGATTTGTGTGTATTTTGGCACTCTCTTGTGTTGTTGTTTCCGGCTGATGCAGATTGGTTTATTGCCTAATTGCTAAAAAGCAAGATGAATTTCAAGAGGCAGGTGGTGATAGCAGCACACAGGGCAGTCCTTGTTGTTGAGGACTTAGAGGAAGTAGCAGCTCACAGTTATGAAAGTAATGACTGCTCGAACCGTTTACACAAATGTTTTTTAGAAGGTACTCTCCTCACACTGAACACATCTAAAATAAAAGTCAGTGGACTTTAGATTTTGATGGGCTGCTGCCAGATGAGGGCTGAGCTCCAAAACATTCTCTTCCAGCACAAAATATTCCAAAACAGCTGTGACATAAATAGCATTACAACCTTATCACACTCGTATAATATTTACAGGCAGAAAGATAAGAGGATGTTATAAGGTATCCTGAGATATAATATGTTACAACATAATGCCCAGACATGGAAAAATAGGTGGCTCACAAACAAAAACAAAAATCTTCAGTAATGCCACGAGATGATGAGAGCCAAAACAGCACCGTCTGGTTAGTCATTCACTTAATGCTTCACATGTCTACACCAGAAGTGCAAGATTATATAACAATATGGGGGTCAGGATATGAACACACCAGAGAGGGTGGAAGTGGAGAATGACTGAGTGTGTGTACTGTGAAGGGGGAGGTTAAGCAGTGGTTTTGTCATGCTATCAGCAAGCTTAACATGGAGTATTCTGAGTAAACTGGTGTCAGTCAGGAATAAAGTTTGTGCTTTGACATAAAGGCAGCACATAGTGGCAGATGGCTGTGTGAGTGCCAGTAGCATGAGAACAATCACAGGATGAGGACATAATTAATAAGTTGATTTTCTGTGTAAAGGGGGATGGTCATTCATTATTTTGCATTTGTTATTACACAGATACACTGATATGGCCACATTCATAACACACATATAAACACTGTGCAGATTCAACCATCCATGGAAAAGGCATCCCATAAATATTCAGATACCCACACAAAGTCAGACCATTTAGAAGCCCCAAAAAATTCCCCTTGAAGGCAGCCAAGAACATGTACTGCCCCTCTTCAGTCTCAGTACCTCATGTAATTAGGACACACACACTGGGCTATAGGCTCCCTCCAGGCTACAACACAGGGTTCCTTAGAAGCAACATCAGCTTTTGAGAATATTGTCTCTCAAACCAAAACACTTAATGGAAAACATTTATGTATTTGAAGCTGGGTTGACTTTGAGATGGGATTATTTTGTAAAAATACTGTTTCCAAAGCCAAAAACCAACCTTTCACCTGCTTTTCAAATTTTTCCAGAGCTTTCAACTACATTTCAGTCTTTCAAAGTAAACTGTGGTTATATATTTGTGGTCACAGAGCATTTGCCATAATTGCTGAATAAACTACCTGCTAAAGAAAACTATAAATTAATGGTTTTCCTTATCTTATGGCACAAGATAAGGTTGAAACTCAAGAAAAAAGCTTGCTTTGCTTTTTTTGTTTTTGTAACTTCTTGCAGATGTGGGTTTATAGTCAAACAACAAATACTTAATATTACTACTTATCTATAATTACATTATCCTAGGACATGTTAGGCGACCCATAATTACTTAAAGGCACATTTTTGTAGCATGCAACAGTAAGGAATGTTCATGAATGTATAATGTTTTAATGTGAAATCAAAACAAACACCACCTGTTATCTTTGGGGCCATTTCACAAGCAGCTATGGAGCACAAGTGAAAGAGTGGTGAGAATATGAGCCACAGGGCCCTGACACAGGACATCTTATAATTAGACCTGTCTACCTCACACTGCTGCAGGTTGATTAACATGAACAGTTCCATGAAGGAGGACTGGGAATCGCTTGGCTGTGTCTAACACCATCGTTAAAAGCTGCAAATGAGCAGAACTCCTCCAAACTACAGTGCCGGCAATAATGACCTTCAGTCTGTCAAGAGCAAACATACTCCCACATCCAGCCTGGGTCTTTTATCAGTGCATACTATCTATTCTGAGAGGCAGGCAGGTAGCTGGTACTTTTTTCCCCACTGAGGCAGTTGGTGATTCACACACAAGCAGCCTGATGTTTACTGCTTTCACAATAGTAGGCAAGCTTATATAGAGGTCTTGCAAAGCAACTTTTTAAATATATTTTAATGGTGATTTTTTAAAATTTTAACAAGCAAAATGACAACAGAAAAAAACCATTTCAACAAAATAACATATTTGGTATCGGTAACAAAAGGATTTTCTGAAATGTGTTTAATAAATATCTTTGACGACAGAGTGCATCTCTTTCTGGATATGACCACAAGCCCTCATAATATGACTGCTTGACCATGAAATCCTACTAGTGGCATTTGCGACAACATTGATATAGTCCCTCACTCCTATAAACACAGACCGACACAGTGAAAAATACAGTGGAAAAGCAAAGTAGGACGGTCCACATCAGCCCATGAGGTTATGCTGAGTGACAGCAAGAAGCTAGGGGTGGACCGCTCATTAGATTTCGACAGTGAAAACATAGATATAAATAATGTGCAGCTGGAACACAGACGTCCTCGCCGACAGACTACTGGGCTCTGTCTGAGATGTATTTGCCTGCTAATAGAGCTAGCTTGGTCAGATAAGGAGCACTCATATCTATGAAGATATCAGAGTACATTCTAAATTGACATTACCTGGATAGACTGACCACATATTCTCAGTCTAAGCAGTTACTTTGTCATCTAAAAAAAAAAGTCAAAACCTAATAAAACGGAATAATACCAGTCCTACAGGTGAAAATGATAACAGCTTTGAGCCTGGCTCTAAATCTCTGCTATCAGGCTCTCATCCGGCTGTCACAGTAGCAGTTCTTTATCCAGCTGTGGGCTGTCGCCTCGCTGGGCTCTTTCAATCCCTGTCTCACACAGCAGGGTGGACTGAATGGCAGCAATCAGCTTCCATTGACAATGAATGGGCAGCTGTCACTAACCAAGGGATTTGTCTAGGTATGCGCTTGGAGTGCTCAGCAGCGCAGCTGTGCACTTTGGCCACAAAGGGGCTCACATACAGCCAACAACCTTTGCATCACTCACGGTGGTGAAATATCATTTAAAATATTCCTGTATCAAACCTCTAATACGGATCAGCACCAAAATCTAATCAATTGTTCTGTGGCCCATACTCTACCACTCCAAAAAATTTCATCAAAATGTATTCATTACTTTTTGAGATATGTTGCTAACAATCAAATCAGCAAACATGGGCAAAAATGGAGGTTAGTACCTGAATACAGTAATTGTAAGGACCAGTTCTTGCTACCATGCTAACTCTGAG